GCCAGATTGTAGAAGGAATCCCACATGGTAGGATGGATATCAGTAGAGAGGTTGGAATGGAGGAAGTTATAAGGCAGAGCCCAGAGGAGTGGGGGCGTTTTGGGCAAACAGGAACACACGTTCATCAAAAAGTGCGTGATGCGAGATGATGATTTTGTCAGAGGATAGATCATAACATTTATAAGACAGAGGTGTGGTTTGTTGGAGGAGCATAATGACTCCATCAAACTAATCATTGAACAGCGGTAGCGTTGGGTTTGAGGATGGTATGCAGTAGATCATTACAGATATAGTACCATATATCCATTGCAATATGATGGCATCGAGGCAAGCCCATAATTCATCGGCAGGGCCTATCCTAACATAATTTAATTTCATCAAATTTCTACTTAACTCAGTGGTTAGAGACTTTGTCTTTGTCTTTTTATGAAGAAGCATCCGGCAACAGTGGGATGATGTGGTCTAAAACCTGGAACATCTGACAATGGATTTTAAACTGTTCAACCCAGGAGATGTATTGGCCGTTTTCCAATTCTAAGGTGATAGGGATGAAGTTGCATATGTTGGTTACCGTTACAGCTGGGTGAAGTTTATATATGTTAATTGAGAATAAGAGAAGAACTGAAGAAGGCAGCTGGCAATAGAAGGGATGAGCAGGAATCACCGGCGCCTGGCGAGTGAAGGGGCTGAGTAGAGCTGATGATGCAAATTAGGGTTTTGGGTTATTCTTGTGCTTGGATACCAAATTGGAACACCAACATATCATATATATATATATATATATTTATATATATATAGATAGATAGATAGATACAATATTTAGGATTTACTACCTTGTCCCCTCTAATTATACACAATCCATATATAATATATCCTAGTCTATTAGTTTCTATCAATACTAAGTCACCTAGTTGTTGTTAGCATCATTTGAATCTGACCATCGCTTCATGCAGGTGAATGATGGCCGATTACGGACTGCCGGCGAAGCTTCTCAGCGTAGTACGAAAGAGGACTGGGCGGAATGGATGAGGCATTTTAGCATTGAACTTCTGAAGGAATCACCAAGTCCAGCTTTAAGAACTTGTGCCAGACTTGCTCAACTACAGGTATTGCTGTATACATAGTATTTATCTGGAATCATAAACCACACCCAATAATAAAAATGATGAAAATTAGGTAGAGAAAGCCCATCAACCCATTTTGCATTTGAGATAATTTGTGTTGTCTCTGACGTTTAAGTATTCCAGCCCTTCGTTGGACGGGAGTTGTTTGCAGCTGGTTTTGTTAGTTGCTGGTCAAAACTGAATGAAGCCACTCAAAAACAGCTAGTACGGAGTTTAGAAATGGCATTTTCCTCTCCAAATATACCCCCTGAGATCCTGGCAACTCTTTTAAACTTGGTAGGTGTTTCCCTGTTATATTTCTAATGTCTTTCCTCAACTTGGTTAAATTCAATTCCGTCTTGTGATATCTTTTAAATGTAATTAAATTAGATTCTTGGTTTTTATTTACGTATATAGAGGTTTCACCATATCTTTTCATGTAATCATCACATCTTCATAGATTAATGATTCATTTAATGAAAAACATGTTACTAGGCTTGGCAGATAGTGAGGAGACACCAGTTGTCAGTGAGGCATAACTTCATTGTGTCACACAAGTAGTAGAATAATGGGAGAGAAACAAGATGCATAACTAGATATGTGTCGTGTGTAATGAAATTTTAAACATATGTTTCATTGTTTCTATAGGTTTTGTGTCTATTTCCTTTCTATTGCGCTACTTGTGCAACTTAAGTGTTCAACTGACCTCAATACTATGGAATTTGCAACTTCTGATCTCTCTCTCCCCTCTCATACACACACTCGCACACACACACACACACCCAAAGTCACAAACACACCACCATCCTCTCCACCGCCTTATTCTGAACCACATTGGGGTTAATGACAGATAATTGTTAGTCTAAATTAGTTGTCTAGAATTATTTAACAGTAAATATTCATGCAAAAAAGCACATCCATCAAATTTATTCCCAACGCTTTCAAGTAATAAGGAATGAGGAATCACTATATGGTTTTCCACTTGCACGAAAAATATCATGAGGAAACGATGAATGAATTGAGATGCTTGCTATGACTATTCCCCACTATGGTATTGATATTGTAAGTCAACATGCACACCATAATTCATACAACATCCCAGTAAAATCCCACGGAAGTAGGGTCTGGGGAGGGTGTGTGTACGTAGACCTTCCTCTACTCGGAAGTAAAGAGGCTGTTTCGAAGAGACCTCCAGCTCGAGTAACACAAGCACAGAGCATGCAGAAAGAAACATAAAGTAGGCGGAAAAAAATGAGCCACACATTGTTAAGCGCGAAAACTACCGCCATACTACCCAAGTAGCCCAACTATCCTAATTCTATCTCTCCAAATACTCCATCTATAGTCATATCCTCGGTAAGGGCTAACAATCTTGGCTAACCACGTCTTTCCAAGTTCTCTTAGGTCTACCTCTTCCCACATTCCTGCCCATTCATAGTATACGAATAACTTGACTGTATATCAAACACAAATGTTCACACATAATGCATACACATTGTATTATGGAATGTATGCATTGCATGAGTCAAATTTTATTAGTGTTAATGGTTTGCAATACATAAGTGCCTTTTTTGGGAAGATATAACAATACTGTTAGCATTTCAAGCTCTAGTGTGGCAATTCTTTTTTTTAAAGCTTAATTTAGTTTAATTCAACAACAAAAACCAACCCATTCAAATCCGTATGGCACTTTAAGACTTTTCATTTGATAAACTTTGGAAAGTTTGGCATCTTAAAATGCAAAGTACCAAAGTGGAATCGATTTATGTCTCCTAGTGTGAATTGTTTTTAAATGTTATGACTTATGAGAAAGTTGTGTTTATTTTCTGTCCATTAGTGGCACATATTAAACTCAAAAACCATTTAGCTTTGTTAGGAGATGGACAATGTTTTGATTATTGAAGGTTCAGCATTCTTCTTACTTGTGAGTCTGCAGTTAAGTCAAATACTTTGACCCTGATGTTGCAGGCAGAGTTTATGGAACATGACGAGAGACCTCTTCCTATTGACATACGTCTTCTTGGTGCTCTTGCAGAAAAGGCATGTTTTTTAATTCTGGCATTGAATCTGTGATTAGCTCTGTGTGCTTCAATGGAGTTTCTCATAATGATATTGTTTATTTCAGTGTCGTGCATTTGCAAAGGCCTTGCATTACAAAGAAATGGAGTTTGAAGGTGCACGGTCCAATAGAAGAGATACAAATCAAGTTGCTGTAGTTGAAGCACTTATTCATATCAACAATCAATTACATCAGCATGAGGTTTTAGTTTGGCCTTTCCTATTGTCCTCTGAAATTCAGATGTTAAGCCAAAGCATCATACAAGTAGTAATTAAAAGACGTCTTTTGATGTTTTCAGGCAGCAGTTGGAATATTAACTTATGCACAACAAAACTTGGGGGTTCAACTGAAAGAGTCATGGTACTCTTGATGTATTTCTAGAATTTTATTTTGTATCTGACTAGATGTACCTTTATTCTTTTTCTGAGTTTTCTCTAGTGCACTGTCTTATGCAATGTTACTTTCACTTAAGGTACGAAAAATTGCAGCGATGGGATGATGCTCTCAAAGCGTACACTGTTAAGGCATCACAAGTGTCTAGCCCTCATCTTGCTCTTGATGCTACACTAGGTTTGTCTTTACTAATATCAAGGAACTTTGACTAAACCATTACTTTGGTTAGGTATCAATATGATACATTTCTGCTAAGTTCAGTGGTTCTTTTTTTGGATTTTTGTACATTGTTCAAATCAATTCTTTTTTATTCACTTATTTTTCTTTTAATTTCTCAATTTGGTTGTGATTAGTGCAACTTTTATCGTAGTTTCAACATTTTTTACTTTCTATCAATTCCGTTTGTAGTCTAATCTTACAACTTCATTCTAAAAGATATTTACAGTAAGTCTGTAATTTGAGATTTAAATACTCGCTCTATCACCAAAAAGCGTTTTGTTTGATCACTTTTAACATTTTAAATTTTAATCTTGGTTAGGTAGTGTACGGTTGAATCCAAAAATTTATGGTATGGTGGGATAGAAAATTATTTAGTTTAATACTCCGTACTTTGCATTGCGTTTCTTAATGCGTTTTTGAATGACCAGACACTTTCTAAATGGAAGAAACATGTAACACAAGTTGGATGAGTAATATAATGGTACAAAGTATAAATACTTGTTACAGACAACATAAATTTATGTGATCTATTTACGCGTAAATGATCTCGTTGCAGATATGATACATGACAGGGTGCAATGGCATCCTTTGTTCCATGTAGCTGACCCCGCCTAGTGGGATAAAACTTTGTTGTTGTATAAACTATAAAACATGTAACAATGTAAGTATATAACTATATTTTTATTTAAAAATTTGGAAACCATAGTTACTAGCAAACTAATTACCAAATCTTTTTTTTGTAGCATGAATTGCATTCAAGTTAATTAACTAATTAAGACTTAAAATGTATTGGAAGAATGAGAAAACGCTAAACCTTATTCATAAAAATATGAAACGTTTGCAAACCTATATGGAGTAAACAGATACTTCCAATAAAAATAGAATTGTGTTCTAGGAGCTTCAGGAAATAAGATTCATCAACTATAGAAGCAGCTCTACTTTCTATGAGGTTTTGGGAAGTAACAATGCATCAAGGTCTATAACATTATAGGTTCAAATTTATGCTATGTGGAATCAGCTCTCTGTCAAATTTTGAGTAATGTTTTGTATTGCTTATCAGTGTCATGTACCATGATATGCAAATTGATTGTGCAATTTCATTTTTGTAATAAGACATGACTATATCAAGTATCAACTATCTCAACTATTAGTTGTCTCATGATATTTTTCACACAACTTGAAAAAGCCACGGATGAGTGTTTTAAAATTGTCGTGTTATCATTCTTTCTCAAGAATGAATTGTGCTAACTGATGAAATATTGGAATAGCTGTATTGCTCAACTAAATAGTAAAAAGCACAATAATGTATATTCCCTTCGTCCCTATTTAATCTTCTCATTTGCATGTTTACACGGAGTTGAAGAAAGATGAAATTATGTGGTTGAAACTTGTGCAGAGGGGTGAGAATGGACGTGAACCAAACAATTCTTTCTTTAAAAGAAAATTAGAAGATTAATTAGGACTTCTAAAAAGAAAGTGGGAGTATTAAAAGGGAAACAAGACTTGGTCCTCATCGTCGTAGTTGTCCTCGTTGTCTAACATCCCCTCAAGCTTAACCACGTGGAACAAGTTGAAGCTTAGAAACCAGAGATCGAAAGCGCGGTGATCCGAGAAAACCTGAGAGGCAGTTATGGTCCCAACAATGACCTCTTCACGAACAACGTGACAATCTGTAAGAGCATACTTCATGTGTTTAGGGAAAACTGGGTTTTTTGTTAGTCATATAACAGATTTAGCAGATTGATTATCACAAAACAACTGAGGTGGTGACAGTACACAGGACAACCACAACCTCATAATCTGCTGCAAGCTGCTGTAGAGAGGACACAGTATTCTGCTTCAGTGGAGGACATAGAAACACAAGTGTGTCTTTTGGTGCTCCATGGAAAACCAGACCTCTATCAACAATCCCTTTGATGAAACAGAAAATGCAAGAAGTAGAAGTGGTAGAGATAAAGGGAGTTCGTTTTCGCAAAATTGGACATGACGAGAGATTTATACGCACTTAGTGGATGAATCATAACAGCAATAGTCCTTTGAAGGAGACTCTTAACCAAGGAAAGATGCAGCGCTTGGAACGGGTTTGTAACTTGTGATCTGTTTTATGGTGGACAATGAATAAGCAAGACACCCAAAAATACGGAGTTTGGATTAGTTAGGAGTGGTGTGATAGAGAGTTTCATAAGGAACCACTCTTTGGAGCGACGTTTAAAGTTTTTAACATCCAGTTAATGAGTTAGTTGTCTGTAACCAAGACTTCTGCGCTGAATGTAGCAGGAACAGTGGATTTATATAAGAGGATGACAACTCTTTTGATTAAATGATGGTGTTCACGCTCAACATCCCCGTTTTGTTTCAGTGGTATAAGGACAAGATTTATGGTGAAGAACCCCCAAATGTTGTAAGAAAAGGTCAAACTTGTAATCTACATATCTAAATATTGAAATATTTGAAAAAGCTCCAAAAGCATTAGATTTAGTTTGTATTGGGTAGAGCCAACAAAACTTAGTTAAATCATCATCAAAATTAATATAGTAATGTTAGCCACACACAAAAAAAGACTGGGGTAGGACCCCAAACATCTATGAAATGAAAAGCATCACTGGTTACAATAGTAGACAAATGGAACAGTAATTGATCTCAGACAATCATACCAACCAAATGACGTACAGAGGCCTTTGTGAGCGTGTATTATACACCTTGCCGTCAAACTCCTTCCAATCATCGTCGTCACCTATTCGTTCCTGTCCACCAACATCTCCACTGGCAGCCAATGCACTGCAAAGGTCTCATCAGTGCCAGCTGGGCCATCCGTCTATTCAAGTTACTAAGTCATTACTTTCTAAAACAAGTTTTCAATTTGAGTTTGCTGTTTTGCATTGTGATTCTAGTTTTTTTATTATCGGTGGATGGATGGATTAAAAGATAAGCAGGATTTTAGAGAGTGAACATGGAAAAGGTTAGCTAAAGTAAAAATATATGTAGGCGCGGTGACCTGACCTGAGCTAACATGAAGTGATTGCCCCCAACCATTTTAATTAAATTTGTGACATGATATTGAGATGAATCATGCAATCTTGAAAAATCAAAAGTCAAATGGGTATTAGAGTGACTAGTATAAATGTCACGTGCATTGTTGTTCGTCAGAGGACCATAATTGTCATTGTTGAAATGGTTCAAACAATCCCATGTTGTATTATTGTACTTTCCAAAAATTTTGCAAATAATGCAACCATCATGAGGCGGTCTCGGCGTCTGCCCCTGTTGCAATCTGTCCTGCCATTGTTGCTGTCGCACAGTTTTGACCATGGCCGCCTCTGCCAGAGTAGCTGCTGCTCCTGCTGCTGTGTCCATGGTGTCGGTCACCGCAGCCATGTGAGGCCTACATTGCCGAGTGGAGATCTGCCAAGTTGGTAGTCTTGGTGCCCAAGTGTAGTTTTTGTTGGAAATGAATATTGAGCTCTTCAGATAAAAGCCATGTAGAGACATGATTGAAGGTGAGTTCCCAAGATTGGCATAGATTTTTCGCTTGAGAGAGGCATAATTGTTTGGGTGGGCGCAAATGCTCAAAATAATATCATGTTCAGGGGTTGTTTCATTAGCAAGAGCAAGGGATGTAATGATTCCCAGAGCATCATCAACATATCTTTGCATCGTGGGTTGGCCTTTTCAAAGATTATCTAGTTGTTCTTTTAGTTTGAAAATGTTTGTCCCAGAGAAAGAATTATACATTTGATGAAGCTGAGACCATCTGTGACAGTAGGAGAGAGATGAACAAGATTCTGAACAGTAGGAGAAAGAACAGCAAGGCCACCCGCAATGGTGCATCAATCACAGACCACAGGAGGTGCTCCAAAAGGGGGGTTTAGGGAGGGGGTTGGGGGGGGGGGTAGGAACCACCAGTTTTGCAGACAGAGTACCGGAGGTGCTCCAAATGGACGAGTGTCATACGTTTACACTGGATGCTAGTGTCAACACAGCGTTTCCATATTATTTATTATTATTATTATTATTATGAATTTATGATTATGATTATTATTATTTTTATTACTACTCCCTCCGTCCGGGGAAAATCTTCCCATTTGGACTTTTTCTCATTTTTTTGAAGTGTTGACTTTGGGAGAGAAATGTCCAAATTACCCTTCTCTTTTGCCACAATTNAAGAAATAGTACATCCGATCTGGGAGAAGAGGGATAACAAATAAGAGAGAGATGGGGGGAGGAGGACGAGGAGGAGAAGAAGAAGAAGAAGAAGAAGAAGAGGAAGAAGAAGAAGAAGAAGAAGAAGAAGAAGAACAAGAAGAAGAACAAGAAGAAAGAGTAAATCTGAAGAAGATGATGAAGATTGGGAGAAAGAGCAGAGAAGAAGAAGAAATGGCTGAGTGGGTGTGGGAGAGAGAAGAATAAGAAAAGGGTGTGAATAGAGAAAGGGGAGAAACGACGGAACAAAAGAGAAAAAAAAGGAAAGGAAAAAAACAGAAGATAAATGGGTAAGGGTATTTAGGGTAGTTTGTGTGTTAAAAATTGAAATGGGAAGATTATTTCCGGACGGGAAAAAAGGAGAAACGGGAAGATTATTTCCAGACGGAGGGAGTATTACTATTATATTACTATTATTATTATTATTGTTATTATTATTCTTGTTCTTGTTGTTGTTATTATTATTACTATTATTATTATTATTTTTATTCTTATCTAACACTGACTTATTCTTTCTGTTTTTTTCAAGGAAAATGCTCGAGTCACAAACATATAGTTCACAAACTCCACAAACTTACCTTTTATGGATTTTAATAAAATATCTTTTATTATTTGAGTGCATTTAATTTTTAGGAAAGTGTTAAAAAAGCAAGTTTGTGAATTTTGTGAATTGTTTGTTTGTGAGTCTAGCATTACTCTTTTTTCAATCTATCATGATGATGAGTTTTCCGTGGTTTGTATTTATTAGGAAGAATGCGATGCCTTGCTGCTTTAGCTAGGTGGGAAGAGCTTAACAATCTTTGCAAGGAATACTGGACTCCAGCTGAGCCAGCTGCTCGACTTGAAATGGCACCAATGGTTTGCATTTCACTTTGATATGTTTTGTACAAAATATACTACGATTTTGGAATTTAGGCAATTATTTTATGTTCATCCAGGCTGCTAGTGCTGCTTGGAACATGGGTGAATGGGATCAGATGTCAGAATATGTTTCTCGGCTTGATGATGGTGATGAAACTAAACTTCGAGTATTGGGAAATACTACTTCCAGTGGTGATGGAAGTAGTAATGGAACTTTTTTTAGGGCTGTGCTACTAGTTCGCCGGGGAAAGGTATTCCTGATATATAGTGTCCTTTGACTTGTGAGATAGATTGGTGCTCAACCTTTCATTTCACATTTTTCCAGTATGATGAAGCACGTGAATATGTTGAGAGAGCAAGAAAATGTTTGGCTACTGAGCTTGCTGCCTTGGTGTGCATCTTTCTCCTTTCTTCCTGTCTCTTGCTTCTCTTCTTTAACTCTACTCTCTATATTTGTCATAGTTGAATTGAATGCACGGACTTTTGATTTTCGTATAGTTTTATGATTGTGAGTTTACCCTTGCAGGTTCTTGAAAGTTATGAACGTGCATACAGCAATATGGTTCGTGTGCAGCAACTCTCTGAGCTAGAAGAGGTAAAAAAAGTATTTGCTCAAGGAACTTTTTACAACTTTCTGGATTTTTTTAAAATGAAAAAATGACTTGCTTTTTCTCAAAAAGGTAATTGAATACTGTACACTTCCTGTTGGAAATCCTGTTTCTGAGGGAAAGAGGGCCCTTATTCGCAATATGTGGAATGATCGCATAAAGGGCACAAAGAGAAATGTTGAGGTAAAGTTTTTAACATTTTTTTGCTGTGCGGATACCTTCACATGTAAATGTCTGTGGTAGTTATAGTTGGCTTAAACAACCCTGGTATGCTTTGGCATTGTTGGGGAAACTTCTCCTTTATTCCATAAATGCTTTCATATTTGACGTGTTGTGTTGTTTGTATAATCAGAAATTATTCTAATGTTACTTTTCTTAAAGGTGTTTGGACAGTAGAACTGCATTGTTCTATATTGTTTTCAATTCCTATCTATCCTCAAGGGGTTCTGAATTTGCAATTCACAGGTTTGGCAAGCACTTTTGGCTATCAGGGCTCTTGTTTTGCCTCCCACAGAAGACACAGAAACTTGGATAAAGTTTGCCAATCTTTGCCGTAAGAGTGGCAGAATTAGTCAGGCTAGATCTACTTTACTTAAACTCTTACAAGTAAGCTACATATCACTTAAATGTTATGAAGATGTAGTGGTATCCTTCTAAACAATGTTTTTTCTCATCAAACCAATATGTTTGATTGTATGATTCTTCACATCTTCTAGTTTGATCCTGAAACATCTCCTGAAACGGTGAGGTATCATGGCCCACCTCAAGTGATGCTAGCATATCTTAAATATCAATATTCACTTGGTGAGGATCACAGGCGTAAGGAAGCCTTTATTAGGCTGCAGGTACTCTGCTTTTATTTTGGGGGTTACTCCTGTGGAATTTCTATGCAGCCATACTTTATATGCATTTCATCTGAATTTTTCAGGAGGTTGCAAGTGACTTGTCAAGAACATTCCAACCAGCCATGCAGCCTGGTTTGGTTACTAATTCCAGTCCTCCGCTCATTGCTCGTGTGTATCTCATACTTGGTACATGGAAATGGGCACTTTCTCCTGGTTTGGATGACGATTCGATACAAGGTGACCTCTTTGTTTTTTTCTAACTGTCATTGTAGTTAAACATTACCTTCTCTGTAATTGAGTGGTTAGCCATTGTGTTATTGTAGAGACTCTTGGCGCTTTTCGAAAAGCTACTCATTGTGCGCCAAAGTGGGGGAAAGCATGGCATAAATGGGCACTCTTCAATACAGCAGTGATGTCTCATTATACTTTGCGAGGCTTTCCCGGTCTTGCTGCTCAGTTTGTTGTTGCTGCTGTCACTGGCTATTTTCACTCCATAGCTTGCTCAGCGCATTCTAAGGGAGTGGATGATAGTCTGCAGGTAAATTCAGTATGAAACCATTTGTTCGAGTTTCTAATGCTATTGCATTTGAACAAACCTTTGCAGCACTACTTCCCTTCTCGATTTGGATTTATCTTTTTGCATTTGAATTAACCTTTTCAGTGCTTTTGCATTTGTCCATTGCCCCAATTATCTTTTGGTTCAACACCCTTTTATCCTAGAAAGAAATGGTTACTATATACTCTTTAGATATTTGGGCAAATGGCCTTTGCGCCTATTATAAATGTTAGTCTATTTATGAGAAGCAAGCTAGTCGATAGGTTACTTTTGGTTAGCTAGATTCAGTTGATTTGAGATAAACACAACGTTATAACCAAAAAATTTGAATGTGGCTATGATCATTTGATGACCTATACTTGACAAACTCAATAAATAATTTGAAAAATGAGTTCAAGCTTTCTTTCTCTAATTAGTGTTATAGAAACCATGCTTCAAATAGACTTTTCCTCTAACCAATCCAGAGTCAATTCCAGTTTTTTTTTTAATTTTTTTAACCTTAACATACTTTTCATACATTCCTCAGTTTTTAGCTTATTAGCCAAATTTGTGGACAACATTATCTGTGATTTGAAGTATTTTTTGTTTCCTGATTTCTAGTGGTTTATATATTTTTTCTTTATTTCAGGATATACTTCGTCTACTCACTTTGTGGTTCAACCATGGAGCTACATCAGAGGTTCAAATGGCATTACAGAAAGGGTTCACACATGTTAATATCAACACATGGTTGGTAGTTTTACCTCAGATAATTGCACGAATTCATTCAAACAATCACGCAGTCAGAGAGCTCATACAGTCATTACTAGTACGAATTGGTCAGAGTCACCCACAGGTATTCATTTTTTGTTATTCAATTAAATTTTTGTTATTTCAAGAATGTTAGCAAATAATAATATAATAATTTAATAACATGTTTTATGCAGGCTCTGATGTATCCTCTGCTTGTGGCTTGCAAATCAATTAGCACTTTGCGTAGAGCGGCAGCTCAAGAAGTTGTTGATAAAGTTAGGCAGCATAGTGGTGTACTCGTGGATCAGGTAAAAGCTGGAGAATGGTGTTGAGCCTCACTTGTTCTTTCCCTTTTAATTGGCAACACGTTTTAGGGATGCGCAATAATTTGAGAAGAATTTAATGCTAAAATGCCCAACTCTACTTCACACATTAAACATCACTTAGCGTATTAAATATGAAACTAAAGGCTGCCATTTGAGTGATCTAGCTAAAGTTGTAGGCAATGATGCATAAAACATTTGGGAAGAGACATCTCCACATTTGAGAAACGTTTTTGGAAACTCTACAGAAAGACAGAAACCTTACAAATAACTGTTCTCCCCATCAAAAAGGCATTTCCTCGTGTTGCGTTGTCTTATGTTTATGCATCCACCCGATTAAAATAGGTATTTTGTGGACCAGTTGGATTTTGCTCAATGTGTGTGCTATGTCAAGGTGGCCATAATTTGGATTGTTTGCAATGCCTCTTTCGATTTTGCTGACCATATTTCTTAAGGCAGTGGTTAAGTATTCCATACATGGAAAGTTATTATAAAATTAACATGATGGAATGCATTTAATGTGCTCATTTAATAATACTTTACCTTTTACAGAATGCTTAACCATTTCCCTAAGGGCAATGGTTAGCAAAATGAATACTATTTAATCCTCATTCATTTAGAGCTTTTTTGCTCATTTTTAAAGGCTCAACTTGTCTCAAAAGAGCTCATCAGAGTCGCCATATTATGGCATGAAATGTGGCATGAAGCATTAGAAGAAGCAAGTCGTTTGTATTTTGGTGAACACAATATCGAAGGAATGTTGAAGGTGTTAGAGCCATTGCATGAAATGCTTGAGGAAGGGGCAATGAGGAATAATACAACAATAAAGGAAAAAGCTTTCATTCAGGTAGTTCCTTTATTATGGATTTTGTTCATTTCATTTTGGTCTATTGTTTTCATTTGTCCATTAACAATTTGGATCAAGGTTTGCAAGATTCATAGTAGCCTCCTGTCTCTAGTTTTGAAGTTTTGATTACATGGGGGTGAAGCCAACTTGATGTTGACTAATGCTAGCTATATAAAGCACATTTGTTCTTTTGTTTAAGAATGTTGATTGCTGAATGGTGATATTGAGATGAGTGGGACTTAATCTGTACTTAAAGCTAATGTTAAAATTTAATAAAACAGAAGTTACAGAACAATAAAATTGTATATAGGATTGTTCGGGCCTCGGGGTACAAACATATTACTCCCTCCCTCCCTTTATTCGTCCCACGGGATATATTTTGGAAATGACTATTGACTTGAAGAAGGCGTACGACACGGTCCTAAGGCAGATTTTGTGGAAGTGACTAGAGTGGATACGGGTACTAGTTGCTTATATCTGTGCGATGAAGTACATGGGGTTTGTCGAAGTTGACTTTGACCCCTTCTCGGTAGAGATGGGGTTACAGTTGCGGTTTGCTCTTAGTCCTTATTGTTTGCATTTGTGATATATGTTCTGACAGAACAAGCATATTCAGGGGTATTGATTGACGACTCACATGAGGGACTCTGATAACTTAGAGTTGTGGCGTCATGCTTTAGAGTACAAATGTTTTGGACTAACTGAGCACGTGGAATGTTGGTTGAATGGACAAATGACTGAGCCAGAAATGGAAGGATTGTTTCACATCTGATGTCTAAAAGAGAAACTTTTAGTACCTTGGTTTGATCATTCAGGCCAGATGGGTAGCGCTGCTTGGGAAAAGTGGAAGCTAGTCCTTTTCAACAAGAAGATATCAACTAACATCTAAGAGAAGTTTTACCGGTTTGTTGTTCAGAACCAACAGAACTGAGTGTTGGGCTTGGGCATTGAAAATAACTCATGTTTTCCAGCTTCAAATGGAAGAGATGAGGATGTTGAGGTGGATATGTGATCACAAGAGGTTGCACAAGATCCAGAAGACCAGAACGAGGTTATTTAGGGAGGGAGAGAGTGCCACGTGGGGTGGATAAGCTGTATGAAGCTATGATGAGGTGAAGCTAGGCGGAGGTGGTTTGTGCATGTCCGTAGGAGTGCAAATTCCCCAATGGGGAGATTCGACAAGCTGGTGGTAGTTGGCGTGTGTGGGGATAGAGGTAGACCTATGAAGAGCTAAACGGAGTTTATTAGGCACAAATTACGATCGTACTGAGGATATGATCTTAGATAGGATCACCTGAAGAGCTAGTAATAGAGTAGTTCAATAAACCTTTGGGCCTTAGTTTGTAGTTTTTGGTGATGTCTAAATTTGTAGCTTGTTCATGTGTGCTTTTTGTGCTTCTGTGTTGAGTTGGGGGTCTTTTGGAAACCTCTCTACTTCCCGGTAAGGGTAAGGTCAGTTTGCGTACACACACTCCTCAGACCCTACTGTCTTGGGGGATTCTACTAGGTTTGTTGTTATTGTTTATTTTTTAATTCACAGCAATATTTAAATAAACTAAAGTGGAAACAACATTAGTCATTGTAAACCCAAATGGGACAATTGGAGAGAGAGAGAGAGAGAGAGAGAGAGAGGGAAAGGGAGGGAGGGAGGGAGGGAGAGGGAGAGGGAGAGGGAGAGGGAGAGTCAGTGACATTTCACATTAAACTGGAGTTTATTTGCATTGCAGGCATACCGACATGAACTATTGGAGGCGTATGACTGTTGCATGAAGTACAGGAGAACAGGAAATGATGCTGGACTAACACAGGTAAATTTTTTCCAAAGTTTGTAGTGTCTTGACTTGGTACTTCATAAATAATTAAATATTATCTTTTTCCAAGTGGGGAATCTTGGTCCTGAAATATGCCATTATAAAACATCCTTGTCTGTTTTAGACTCTAGATGTATATTTATGTCTTGCTTAAACCATCTTTCTCACAGGCATGGGATCTCTACTATCACGTATTTAGACGGATTGATAGGCAGCTTCAGGCATTGACAACCCTGGATTTGCAAGTGAGTAGCAATTCTTGTCACAATTGTCATAGTTTATGCCGAGTGCTTTTCCAATGCTTAATGTTTTTATTTTTTTGTGCTGATACCAGTCTGTCTCCCCCGAGCTGCTAGAGTGCAGAAATTTGGAGCTTGCTGTTCCCGGCACATACCGCGCAGGTATGAAGTTGTTCTAACTATTTAAGCTCTGAAGTGATAGGCTAGGTTGCACGGAGACGGGGACGTCTACTTAAATGGGGGCATGATCGCGAACGGGGAAATACCAAATTTTCAAAATTTATGAAGGGTTTAGGTGTGGGACGTCCCTAGGTACCCAAACTGGAACGTTTTGGGGGACAGGAAGCGACAATAATCCGTGCAACATAGGTGGTAGACTGGTAGGCATTCAGAATTCTGGTTTAGGACTCCCGGTAACCATTCTCATTCTATCAGATTCACCTGTGGTAACCATTCTGTCGTTTGCACCCCAACTTGTTGTAATTACATCAAAGCAACGACCTCGCAAATTGACTATCCATGGCAGTGACGGGGAGGATTATGCTTTTCTGTTGAAGGGACATGAGGATTTACGTCAAGATGAACGTGTCATGCAGGTAAACAGCTTTAGTTTTACTCCAAATGTGCACAAGGTGCTGCTTATATTTTATGAATATGGCCTCTTTATGCATTTAAGTACCAACGAGTTTTTCAAATCATGTTTCTATTCCCGCAGCTTTTTGGCCTTGTCAATACACTGCTGGAAAATTCTAGAAAAACGGCAGAGAAAGATTTATCTATTCAGCGATATGATGTCATTCCTTTGTCCCCAAATAGTGGATTGATTGGATGGGTTCCAAATTGTGACACACTGCATCATCTCATTCGAGAATATAGAGATGCTAGGAAGGTGTGTATTGTTTTTCTTTATATCCTTTATCTGTTTCGTCAGTTTCTCTTTGAGTATTTCTGTCTGATTGGCATGCTTGTGTGATGTGTAGATTACCCTTAATCAAGAGCATAAGCTGATGTTGGGGTTTGCTCCTGATTATGATCATTTGCCACTTATTTCTAAAGTGGAAGTGTTTGAGTTTGCTCTGCAAAACACAGAAGGGAATGATCTTTCCAAAGTAGGCATTGCTGAGATTTGTGTTTTTCTTTATTTGTATAGTTGTTAATTTGTTGTTTTAAATAAGTTGCAGCTCTTGACATTTGACTTAGAGCTTTTCCATATTCCTGCATGGGAATTTTTGTTCTCTGTAGATGTTTGCCTTATTAATTGTTTCTTTTGAATCTTAAAAGGTACTTTGGTTAAAGAGTCGCACATCTGAAGTCTGGCTAGACAGGAGGACAAACTATACCAGGAGTTTGGCTGTAATGAGTATGGTAGGTTTTCATTTCATCTCATTTTGTTTTGAAATCTCTCCCCTGATTTCTTTGATTTCTTTTCGGATGTTTGAGCAACTAACCATGCTTTCAATTCCTATTTCCTACAGGTAGGATACTTACTTGGCTTAGGAGATCGACATCCCAGTAATCTCATGTTGCATCGATATAGGTAGTTGGCCTCTTCAGTGGTGGTTATTGAAAAACTTTCAATGTATTCTTAGTAGTTGTGTGTTTGCAGTGGAAAAATACTGCATATTGACTTTGGAGATTGCTTTGAAGCTTCTATGAATCGAGAAAAGTTCCCAGAGAAGGTATGGATTGAGTCTGGATTGTTTTTCCTGGAAATGAAAATAAAAGGTTTATTTATCAGTAAATGTAAATTATCATGCAGGTACCATTTCGCCTCACCAGAATGCTTGTCAAGGCAATGGAAGTCAGTGGCATTGAAGGAAACTTCCGTTCCACTTGTGAAAATGTAATGCAAGTTCTACGCACGAACAAAGACAGTGTAATGGCTATGATGGAGGTAAACTTTTTTAACGCCTCAGTTGTGTCCTACATGATCTCTTTTTGTTTTCTTTTCTTTTTCCCGGTGTTGTAGAGGAATATAAAGTTATAAACCTTCCAACTGTTTTTACACAACTGAGTTATTTGAATCTCTTTCAGGCCTTTGTTCACGACCCACTCATAAACTGGCGTCTTTTCAACTTCAACGAAGTTCCTCAAATGTCTACGCTACACACTCCTGCTGCAGTCAACAGCGAAGAATCTTCTTCAAAGGAGCTACTTCAACCACAAAGAGGTGCCAGGGAGAAGGAATTGCTTCAGGTGGGCGTGATGATACTTACAGACATACAGACACAAACACACGCGTACCTTGTGCAGTTTTTCACTCAATGGGGGTACCTTATCTGTCGTTTAATAATGCAGGCTGTAAACCAACTAGGAGATGCTAATGAGGTTCTAAACGAACGTGCCGTGGCTGTAATGGCTCGAATGAGCAATAAGCTCACTGGACGCGACTTCTCTACTTCACCCCCACCTATTAGCTCTGCACAACAACAAATATTGGATCATGGCAACTTGATTTCTGGCGAGACCCGTGAACCCGATCACGGGTTATCCGTCAAGTTTCAAGTCCAGAAGCTTATTCTCCAAGCAACCTCACATGAGAACTTGTGCCAAAACTATGTTGGGTATGGATATTCATGCGTTAAAAATAAAAAATTACGGAGTATGCTGTTTTTTTTGGGTCCTTAAACTTTAAGTAAAATATTATTGTCTAATCATGATTGCCCAATGTTTTCTTTCAGGTGGTGTCCCTTTTGGTAGGTAGACTGGTGATGCTGCAAATGTGTATGAGTGTGTGTATTCTTTGTATTTTTTATCTGTAAATGAATTCCATGCAGCTTATGTATTAGCCTCTCAGAAGTTATTTCATGTACAAAAAGTTGCGAGGAATAATGTTTTGTTCAGAGTAGTAGGGTGTAGAAAGGCAAAAGGGAAATGTGATGTAAATAAACAGTGTCAACTCTTGCCAGGTTGAAAAAGAATCCCTCCTGTTCAGCTTAAATAAGTTATCCCATAATCTTGTGAGCCAATCTATCTTTGCTTTAAGATCATTCTCTTATCCAGGTATTTTGCTGTGTCTCATGCATTCCTGGTAATTTACATGTTTTGACCCGCTTGGAAGTTGGAATCTATGAACAGAAAAATTGCCAACTTGCTTAACCAGAAATTAGGTAATTCTTTTAAAATGTTTTTTTTGAGTTGAGGGAATTAAGCAAGTATTTTTATTTTTGTGCATCTTTCTCTCTCATTATTATTAAGACCTATGACTAAAATGTATGCGGAGATTTTATTGGCCTGATCTCTAATAATTTGTTCTGGTTTTCCTGAAAAAAAAAAAGTTCTGGTCAAATTTGAATCCACTCTGTAGTTACCAACATTGGTATAAGTTCCTAATGAATGTAACCCATGTATGGCTGAGAGGAGGTAAATTAGATTTTGATCGTAGATTGGTAGCAAAGAGTGGGATGACGATTTTGACGATTCCTATTCCCTTTAACCCCCGGTTAACCCCCACTACACCCACACACCCCCCCTCTCCCAACTTTCTTCATTTGAACCCTGCAATTTAATTTTGATTGTGGAGTCAAAATTTAACTTAAATGTCAATTAATTTGGAAGGTGTAATTGAAGGGGATAGTGGTGTGTGTTCGGGACGGGGTGGGGGATTTATTGGGGGGTTAGGAGGGTAGGAACCGTCAATTTTATGCATAGGGCCCCGGAACAGTCTTAGATTATCTCATGACATGGGTTCCAATGTCATGGGAACCTCACCTGATACTATATACCCTTTGTATCAAAGCAAATGTTGCACCCTTTTACATTATTTTCTTTTTCTGTTTGACTTGGTAACATGTTTTAAGCTTTGACCATATATAATGGAAAAAAATACATTAAAATATTATGTAAATTTAATATTAACAGGTTTAGTTGGAAATATTTTTTGAAATATTATACTTTTATAATATATATTTATATATAAATGTATATATTTATAGTAAAACTATAATTTTTGAAAAGTCAAATGAAAAATCTATGGACGGAAAGAGTAATTGACACACAAAGCATTTTATAATCCTGTCATGGGACTTTTATTACAGATTGTGGGTTTCTATACGTCATTAAAAAATGATCGAAAACTAAAAAAACAAATTTCATATATTTAAAATTTAAATTAAACGTTGACAAATCTAAATGTAACAAGATTATACAAAACTACATATTTAATCTAAAGTTATTTTTAGATTATTTTATATTCAAAGCTTATGTAGAATTAAAAAAATAAAAATTTACAAAACTAGTGGTAACATGATCATATTATTTTATCAAATAACTAATAAAAATAATAAAAAAGTAATTAAAATTTGACCATGTGAATAATATATAGACTACCTAATTTGAGATGGGGGGAGTACTATTTCATGAAATCATTATTGAATAATGAGAAATAAGTAAATAAAGTGTTCAAAATTTGATCTTGTGAATATTATACTCCTCCGTCCTATATCTTTCTTCCCTTTGCGCAAAACGAAGAAAAATCTCAAGTTTTTTCAATCTATTTTATTTAAATATTGGTATAGAAATAAAAAATAAAGCATATATATTTAAAAAACTATATCAGAAGTTCAACAAAACAAGTGGTGACAAGAATATTTTATTTTATGGAATATATTACATGGAACATGCTCCTTATCTTAATTGTTTCAACATGGTAATTGAGGTGCGCATTAAAAAAAGGTAATTCTTTCAACATGATAAATGGTGGTTGGATGGTTGCACGTGAAATGGTTTGAATCTTCTTCATAGGGAGGGAGGGGGTGCACAAGTCACTGCACATATAATAGTCTTCCTCCTATAATTGGCCTATATATGGAAGAGGCAATCTATATATATATATATATATATATATATATATATATATATATATATATATATATATATATATATATATATATATATATATACCATGACCATCCATTACCATATACTCCCTCCGTCCGGAAATATTCTTCCCATTTTCCTTTTTGGTCCGTCCGAAAATAATCTTCACATTTTCTTTTTTAGTATGCTTTTTAAGGCTAAATATCAATAATACCCTTCTATTTTATCACAAATCTACTTTTTGATACTTTTTTAATAATAAAAGGAGATTTAAAAGTTTATAGTATGTGCATTTTTGAAAATTTTGCGTTTTTTTACTATTCCTTAATAAGAGTGTCAAGTCAACACAGGAAGAACATTTCCGGACGGAGGGAGTATGATTTATCACACCATACAATGGAATTGGAAAAGAAGGAAAAAAAAAATGGAACGTCCATTCTTGGGACTCTCACATCCCGGCGGTCTGATAGAGCAGAGCAATGAAAGGATAAATCACGTTATTATAATCTTAATGTGAATTTTAGACAGGCCATACTTGGTGCACCCAATGAGCTATCATGTTGGATAAAACTATCACTCTCGTTTTCCTAGACTTGGGCCAAAATAGTCTTTTCTTAGGACCATCTTGACAGAATAGAATTGAAAAAGTGAGGAGGAGGAGGAAAATGGGGGGTGGTTTCCCATTCAGTGAAAAAAGCATGATATAAATTCCTAATTTTGAAAAGTATTTCCTATCAATGAAACATGGGTTTGGCGAACACGGCTTTTGAAATATTAATTGAAATCGTGTTCGTGAAACACGAGTTTGAAATATTAATTAAAATCGTGTTCGTTGAGCACAAGTTGCGTCAGATTCCCTAGGCTGTCATCCCAAGTTGGTCAAATTCGTGTTCGCTGAACACAAGTTCCTTATAATCTGGGATGATTTCAGAGAAAAAATTGTGATTCCTTGTCTTGAAATTTTCGATTTTTTATGCAAATGATAAAAGGTACTCCATCCGTCCTAAATTATTTGCAATGTTTGCTTTTTCAGCAGTCGCGGGAACTTTTGTTTATTTCTACGTTTTCATTAATTATTTGATAAAATAAAATATTCTTGACAACTCTTATTTCGAAGAACTTTTCATGTAGTTTTTTGATATGTAAATTTTATTTCTATACCAATATGAAAATAAAATGAATTGAAAAAACTAGATATTTTGCCTCGGGAATATAAGTGTGGCATATATTTAGGGACGGAGGGAGTATGTTTTTTTATTGGGAGTTGATATCTACACTCCATGATTTACTAATGGCACTCCACAGTTTATATTTTTTAGGGATATGCTAGGAGTACACCAAAGGTGTACCCCAAATATACATCATCTCTCTCTTTACCATTCATTTTATTTTTATTTTTTATTTCTTTTTGAAGTTTTCTTACCTTTTTTGTGGTAATAGAGGGGGTGTGGGATGTTTGGGGTACATTTTTGGTGTACCCCTAACATTTTCCTATTTTTTATAGATGGACAATAATAACCTTTTAAGTAGAAGACCCCATCCTCATTCTACATTTCTACTTCATTTGATTTACCTCATTACTTCTTATGGGTAATAACCCATGAATTCCATCCGGTAGGTTCATACCGACCGGAAGGTATCAAATTCAATGCCCTATGACCCGGTTGACTCGGGCAGTCTGACCGGTCTGGGATGGGAAGATTCGGATTCACAAACATGGTTTCATCTGACAAAGATGTGCGAGCTAACCGGTTGGGGACTGAGCGGCTGGAGGGGCGGAGACGTGCTTAGTAATGATTATAAATAGGACTAAAAGCCTCATTTGTGGGACATGCTTTAATTAATCCATGCGGCTAATAGCTTGTAAACAGTCCTACAATCATTAATAACAAATCAGGCTACAGGCGTTTTCACCTACAGCCCTTCCGCTCATTACCACTTGATATTTGCGCGGTATTTACACCATCAATTTCTATTGTAATTTATTCACGGATCGGTACCACTTAATTGTGTGCTCCAAATGAAACCTAGTTTTAATTAGGGGTGAACACGAATCAGGACGGACCGGATTTAGGTTTTCCACGTCTTGTCCTGTTATATATAAATGGTCCGGAACGGTTCGGATTACAATCTTATCCCGGTTTGTCCCATAAAATTTGGAATCGGAACAAACTGGGACGGATTCCGGTTGTCCCACTTTGTCCTAATCCCAAATATAAGAAGGGGGGTACTCAATCCAAAAGTCACAAAATGTCATAAATAGTAGTCATTAACTCCCAAAGACATCCAAAAACTAGCTAGTTGTGTACACCAAGCAATTAGCCACTGTCCAATGGATTTTTACAGAATTGTGTAATAAAACTTTAAAAGAGAATTAGCTTAATAATGGGACGGAATTGGGCTCTGGAGTCTAGACTTTGGAGTTAAGACTAAATAAATTTAATATATTTTGGGTTGAAACTTGAAGTTAACTTAATTAATTAAAGAATGAGTGTATAGAATTAGAATTATATATTAATAGAGTAGATAAAACGGAACAAACGGGATGGATCGGTATAAATTATACATATAGAAAAAAGAGTGCTAAACTATCGTGATCTGTTTCAAATACAGTATTATACATATGGAATATGTTTATATAAAACTATTGTGATCTGTTATATTTAATTTTTTTTGTGTTATACAAATTTTAATTTCAGCCAACACTTGTGTCGGTGTAAATTATCAAAATGTTTGTGCATAACTGTGGTGTACAAAGGAGGTATATTTTTTGTGTAAGTGTAGCATGGTCCTACATTTAATTGTGTTATACTCCCTCCGTCCACAATTTGATTACAAATTGCGGGTTACGGAGTAAAATTTTATACCTTTTGAAATTATTTTATTTACGAATTGGTATATCAATAAGATATAAAAATTACATATTAAAAAACTACGTTAAAAGTTCTACAAAACAAGAGGTGACAAGAATATTTTATTTTATCAAATACTTAATGAAATCCCGTAAACAAATAAAAGTTATCGAAAAAAGAAAAAAATTTGTAATCTATTTAGGGACGGATGAAGTAGTCCGTAAAATTAAGGTTTAAGCATTTCAATTTAATTAAAAAGAACAACTTGTGTTCACTGAACACAAGTTTA